TGACAGAGCGGGAAAAAAAAGACCATTAAATGAACCCCTTTAAAATTCAAAAATACATTCACAAAATATGGCATAATAATACATAACAATTACAGTTTGTTTAAATGATTTACTTTTAATGTAAATGTTTTGATTAGCAGTAAAGCAGCATCCCTGTGAATGTAGTTTTAAAAGAGAGTCTCTATGTACTGCTCGCTTAAAGGTTTGTGTAGTATCCTGATGAACTCCAACACTGGGTGTTAAAAAAATTAAAAATATTCTTGTCACAGCTGTGAGCAGCATAACAAATTTAATTCTACATTATTATAATATAATATTACATTACTATGTTGGGGCAGAGACATAAATCTCGTAGATCTTTAAAAAGCTTTTCAAACCAAATCTCAACAGCGGACAAAGCTTGTTTTCATGAGAGGAGTGAAGAAATGTCGTTGTTTTATTTCTCTGTACTACCTTGCTGACCTCAGGACGAGCTTGGTTGGCTGCAGACTCTGTTCCTGCTGAGCTTTCCTCTACTGGAACCATTTTAGTAACACCTAACAAATCAAAAGAAACACGCTTTATTAGTAAATCTATTCTTTACAAAAGGTCAATGTACTGTTGTTTTAAGGGAGAACGAGTGAGAAATAAATAATACAGCGCTAACCTGGAAGTGTGTCATCTTCTGTCAGAACAACACTGATGACTGACTTCTTCATTCCTTTTGCTGGGCCTCCCTCTTTGGAATTTCGACTCTGGCTGGCTCCCGGCGGTCGAGAGTTTTGCGTGTCTGCAATCAAAGAATGAGTCGCTGTATTTAGTAAAGATGCAATAAGGTTCGCTCTCTTCGTAAAATGAAATGTGATCTTACACTTACCCCTTTTTCTCTTGGTGCCTGGTCTTAATAAGTTTTGTTGCTTCTTGTTTGGATTTTCTCCCCCTGTATCCAAACTCTGTGAACCCTCCACACTTGCTTGACCACCATGGCTCCCTGAAAATGAAAGTATCTTTTTAAGAGAAGCACCTTGATTGCCAAGAGTAGTGATTATAGATTTGTTATTCCATACATTCTCAACATGAGTACCTAAAAAAAGAGGCTTTCAAGAATAAACACACTACAATTATGTTTAGGATCATTTTAAAGTTCATATTTCCTGCTTTTCTTCAGCCCCTCACCATTGTCCGCTCGGTCCTCCTCCTCTTCCTCCTCTCTCAGGCAGATGTGCTTGAGGATCTGCCGTCTGTTGCTGAACGAGCGATGACAGTTTCCACATTTCAGACCCAATATCCCATCATGGCTTTCACCTAACAGAACATTAAAAAAAAAGTGTCGGACTGCAGGGTGCAGATGATGTAAAAAATCATTGACTGTTAAAAGCTAACAGCACCGTATGTCTGCAGTACTCTGAACAACAGGTGTGGAAATGACAGAGAAACTCATGATACGATCTACACACATGGCCCATGGTAATGATAATATTACAATACAGAGATTCTGCAATACTTGATATATTGCAGGACAATCACAAAAATGAACCACCTTGATATAAGGACGAGCAGGATGAATGTATTGATTCACTGGAGTTAGGTGTCAGTTTCACCTTCTTTCCATGGCCAATTAACACCTGACACATTTCTCTTATTCATATCATACGCACCACTGTGAGTAGTTGTGAAGTGGTGACATGTTGAGCAAAATACCAGGGAAATCTGTTCAGAGCACTGTGTTTTTCAATTATAAAATCATTATTAGGCACCAGCAGGGTGATAATTGAATCACACGTGTCAGGAAGACGATATATTGCTGTATCCATATTTTGTCCCTTGTCTAATATAGTATATTTAACTGTCGTTGATATCTCGTGTGTGTTTGGACTTTGTGCCGACTGTCACTCAATCAGAAAGGCTGTATTTTTATTGTTATTAAACTCCAAGTTACCTTTTCTCATGCAGAGAGAACTAATCGGGTCCTCTCTGTGAAAAATGAAGAATAATAAGATACACATAAAAAACAGAGAAACAGAACTACCTTCTTTTGGGCTACGTTCTCCGTCTCCCTCCTTCTTTGTTTCCTCTTCTTCTCTCTGAACATTCTTCTTTGAAGAATGAGAGTCTGCCTTGTCCTCTTTTGAAACTGAGCGAACATTCTTAGAGCCTTTGGGTCGTCCTCGTTTTCGTTTCACAGGACTATCTGTGGGCCGAAAGAGAAGAACAGAGAAAATATGTAATAAAAATAATTCATATATATTCTGTTTTTATTATCGTTTTTTCCCCAACAGGATTCTGTGATTGTAATTCTAGCAAGGACGCCCTTGTCTGACCTGTATGTGTCTCTGCAGGCTCTCCTACAAGGGGTTGCAATGCAATGATGATGTCATCAGGAGGCTCCTGCTGAGGATGCAGGAGAGAGCAATGGGCCAGCAGCTGAGAGCGACAAGGGGAGAAGATGTTGCACAGCTGACACATAAACACAGAACCAGCTGGAGAGGCAGAGAGAGGGGGTAAGGGGCCAGAGGGGTAAAGAAAAAAGAGAAATGTCATTTAGTTTCATTTAGTGATTAACATAATCTTCTGCTTTGAATTGAAGCGGTCATTAAGTTGTTATTGATAACTATACTATGTATTCCAGACTCCACCCTCCAGTCCACACATCTATAAAATGTCAGGGAAGCTTAAATCTAAAGTGCCACAAAGACAACTGCATGTGTGGACTACTTAAACTAGTTTCACTATAGTTCAATCTAAATCAAACTGTCGAAAATGTTCAGAAAAAAAGTTAATCTGCATTTGAATGATACAGGACCATGAGTTTTGGATTCTCTCACAATAAATATGTATTAATTCCAAATAATTTTCATTCCCTCAGAATATTTTTTTTAATCTGAGCTTTTTATTTGTGCCCAGCTGCCTCGAGCAGAGCGCTTTAGTAAATGTAAACTTAAATGGTTCTAAGACTCAGAAGAGTCTCCAGAAGAAAGCAGTATTACAATTGCAGTGATATAGATGGATGTATTAAAAATCCAGAAAGCAATAAAGTAGGTACTACTGAACTAAGAACATGATATTTGCGTCTACAGTCAGAGAATGATCAATGTAATCGTAACTATTAAATAAAGAAGAGACAATAGTTCTAGTATTAATACAAACTGGGAAACGTCACTGTACATTGTAAATAAGCGTCTTTTGTCAACAAAAAAATACACACTACCAGTCAAAAGTTCTGACACACAACAGTAACAGTATTATCAGTAATTCAGTATACTATATATTCCTATAATACGGCTGCTGTAAGCTGTATGTAGGACACACCAACTAGTCGAAGGGTTTTTCTTTATTTCTACAATTTTCCACATTTTAGAATAATAGTAGATATTAAAAAAATAAAAAATAAACATTTCATTTCATTTTAGTTTAGTTTTTGAAAGAAATGCATACATACAGGCTTCAACTTCACTATTTCTATAAGAAACACGTCAAACGTTTAAGCAAAAACCTTTCAGATCAAAATGTTTTTAGGATAAGAACACAATCAGGTGTGTCGAAACAATCGACTGATATATATATATATATATATATATATATAGTAACAATAAGTTTAAGTAACCATTTATTTTTCTTCACAACGAACCTCAAATTAAAACATAATATTATAATAATATAACATCATATTTTTAAATGTTTGCTGTGATCATGCAGCAGCATTGATTTACTTTATTCATAACAGTCATTGTGTCTTTCTCTTAACTTAAATGGTATCTGTCTTCTTTATAGACTTATCAGTTCAGTTAAATGTGAACTGTAAAGGTTAATATAAAAACAAGCATTTCACAGGTGAAACATGTTTTTATTATGTTCATTTTTAATAAAATAACAATGACGTCACAATAAATAGCTTTTGAAATCCAACTTGTTCAGAATCAAGCAGACATCGAGCAAACATAAAGATAGAAATACTAACAATGTGAGGGAATGCGAAACACACTGAGAGGTAAACATATATACCTATACTTATACTTATATATATAAATATTAGGTGACGCAGAAATATTACGGGCTAACGGAAAAGGTGTAAAATAAGCCCTCAAAAAGTCTTCTTCAGAAATGTTCATCCATTTTTCCAGAGTTTGTTCCTTTTTCTGCTTTTCTTTTCGTTATGAAATGTACTCAGTTGAACAATAATGCACTCATTACACAGCTTGCATGCGTGAAGTTAGTAACACCCATGTTTATTTTGTTTCGGCTCAAATTAACATGAAGACCTCACAAACATATTCGAGTTGAAGCTAACTCACCTGCTTTCTGTCCGTCCATCGCTGCAGCGTCAATACAACAAAACGACAGTAATCTATACGTGTATTTGGCGCAACTGACAAATGAAATGAAACTCTAAATTTGGATTTAGAAACATATTTATCTTAACGAAAATATAAATTTATGTCGAATCTGCCTCAAAAGTCCTTTCAGCTAGCGGAAGAGAACAGGACTCAGTAAAACTGAAGCCGACAGGGCAGCGCCCCCTGTGGCAGGAGGACTGCACCGCGGCTGTCAAGATAGCTGAAGCATTGACATTATTTTCCTAAAAGCAACAGATTCTGCTCATGGATATCTTTCTTAAAATGTGTATTCACTGTCTATTGTTTCGAAAGCCATCTCTAGTATTGTTTTAGCCGACTACAGTATGTTTTAGTCTAAAACAACAAACTGTGTTTATGACTGGTTAAAGACTTATGTTGAAGGCAAGAAAACTAAAATGCATTGAAAAGGATATTTGTTCATTTATGCTTTTTTTAATTGTGTAATGCTAACTCCACATGAATGATGTTTCTGCCACTAGCTGCAAGGAACAAAACTGTTTAGGTTATTGGTGGTAGACTATAAAGTATTTTTTTATTGTTGAGGCCTGGTATGTATGTAGCATTAAATTGTGATATATTTTATGATTTCCAGGTGAAAAGAACTTGATCAGAGATCCATTAAGACACCTTTAAACTGACAGATGAATCAATGAATATCCATTAAAATAAAAGGGACAATGACAAAACCTTTAATTAAACAATGCAAGAATTTACAGACATAGACATTTACAATGTGTGCTTTTTCATTAAAAAGTGTCAGCTCAGGCCAGTCCCAGTGATTAACAGTAGCTAAAAATACACACGTTCAAATTAACACATACTGCAAGTAAATTGGTTATCGCTCATAGCCAATGTGTTAAAAAGAAGTCACATTTTCAATGAGGGACAGATCATCATTTTCTTCTAGATTGCTTCTGCTTCTTTACTTTAGCTTTACACCCTCAGCTCTCATTTTCATTGATTGTTTTTGAGGACCTTAGTTCAGGTGGAAGATGTGTTTTTTGACATACATGACAAGAAGAATGATATAAGCAACATTTGAAAGTGCATGCTCTATCATCAGAAGAAAAGAGAAAGGTTTTAAAAGCATTTGGTGACATGCTTCATCCAGGAACCAGCACAATGAGAAAGTAAACTCCAAACCACTAAGAATATACATTGGCTACTAACATGGCTAAAAGATGTGCACAATTCTGCACAGCAGCATTTGTGCAAAAAATACGACCAACCTCTATCTTCTTTGCACTAAAATTTAGAGACTCCGTCGCATCGTGCTGATAAATATGAAAACTCCTTCCTGACAGAAACTCTTTTTTTTTCAGTCTGTCTTGGAGTTGTTAATCGCCACAAAAGGGAAAATGATAGAGATATTCATTCATTAATATTTACAACTAATTACATTTCTCTGTCATTCAATATTAACATTACATTTTTATATCATACATATATGCATTTTAAACATGGCTTAAAATCAGCTGCATCTTCCTTCACTGGGTGTCAGTAAACAGGGCAATGATATAATGCACACACTGATATGTAAACACATAATTTCAGCACAATATTAAAACAGTGACCGTTACATAACCTAATGAAGGCTTCATGTTTATGAAAGATGAATCATTTTAGCAGTTGCTTTTTACACTAATTAAAGATGGATGGCATAAATGGCTGTGAAAAGAATGAGCCCTTATTCCTCCTGTTCACTGAAAATCAACAGGAATAGTGTTAAAAGTGAGAGATAACCTGGTGTATGGACATCAGACTTCATGCTTTTGTGTATCAGGAAGTTTTAACATGTTGAAAATCAGCTCTTACTGATAAAAAGAAAAAATCAATAATTTATATTTAAAGCCAAATGTATATGAGGTATCATAATAAATCAGTTGAATGCCAGAGCTGTCTAGCATTTTCCAAAATGCACATTTTGGATGTTTTTGAAGATTTTGACAAGATAAAGCAGATATAACTCAAAAACTAACATATCCTTTATGTGATTTTCTCTCTTACCATCTGTCTTCGTAGTTAACAATATTATCAAGCAAACACAATAAATTGAGCCTTAAAGGACAAGAGTTTTTTTTCTAATAGGGGAACAAAGATGAGTCCGACTGAGATTGCCAGAAAGATATTCAAAGCTTCCCAGGGTATACTTTGGCTAAGGAAGCCAAGATATTTTAACTCTGAAAGAAGGCTATTGTGGTTGGATTCCTGAGAGAATTTGCTGAGGGGTACAGGATTCTGTGTGTGTTCACATGGTGCAACATTTGTTCTTGTGTGTGTTAGAGTCTTTGAAGCGGAGCCTCTGCTTTGATCGATACTTCTCCAGGTAGGTGAGTTGTTTACTGTTGATGGCTCCCCGACGCTTCCTGAAAAACACAAATAGTGTACAGGGAAAGACCACATTAATACACTTTCACAAATCCTGAAGAAACACATCATCTGGTTTTCCCTTAATTTAAATTCAACGGCAGGATAAATTGTATTATTGTACATTAGGTTATCCATAATTTATTTTTGAATAGCTCATATCAAACATTTTATTCTTTTATCACCCTGCATGTGCTTTTCAATGGCCTCAACAAATGTCACAGCAATGTATCAATGTTAGACCAACTGCCAATGTCATTCTCTGATATGACCACTTGATGGCACCAAAGAGAACAGAAAACCAAGAAATACATAATTTCTCTCCATTAAATACAAGTGCATGTACATGAATTATGTTTGTGATACAAACCATATAAAGGACTTAGCATATTAACACATTGCTCGTTGGTGCACTGTTTGCTACGGTTAGTGATGCCTTTAATTTGTATAAACATAATAGTTTTGTATAATGACAACACTTAAGTCGACCACAATGCCCGTTGCTGTACACCATATGTTATTTCCTCATTATGATGACACTTACTGTCTGATGAGTTGAATAGCATCTTCATACTTCATCCCACTTTCTATCAGAGCCAGAGCAACTAACACAGGAGCCCTGAAAGCATACATAAACACACAAACACATACACAGAGTCACTTCTCTAAACAACTACAACACTTCACTGGCATCTTTTAATAACATGCAGTAGGATGTCACGTTTTTGTCTCATGATGAATGTTAATACCACCAGAAATAGACCAAAAAGCATCTGCTCGTATCAAACTATTATATTGTCAAGTACGGTATCTATAGACTGAGAATATTGATACTGTACAGTCATATCACACTAAACCTATGATGTGATTGTAACTCAACAAGTTTAACCTAGATTTATACTATAAAAAAATCATTTAAATCATTTCATTTTGAGTTTTCAGGTGTCTTCCATGCATCTCTACAAGTGTTTTGTAGGCGTCTCTCACCTCCCCAGTCCAGCCACACAGTGAACAGCAACGCAGCTCCCTGGATCCTCCTGAAACTTCTTCTTCAGCAGACCCAACCAATCATCCACCAGCTTACTGGGGGGCGGGGCCCCATCATCAAATGGCCAATCCTAATAGGAAAGCAGGATATGTTCAGTTTCTTCTGGCACTTTGCAATTGAATGTTAATCTTATGCACGGGTGTGTTTACTTTTATTTAGTTTGTGTGCTCACCACCACGGTAATGCCATCCTTCTCCAGCGGCGTTTTATCATAGGTGATGTCACAGACTCGAACTACTGTGGTGGCACCGTAATGCTTCAGGTCCTGACAGTGAACAATAATAAATGAAGATTTTAACACTGAAGCCAACCCACAAATATTTTTATTAGTTAAGGCAAATGTCTACCAGTAGTTTCAGCCTACATGCCATCAGCAGAGGAATGGATACATAATGTTAGTACATAACGTACGTGTATGTGCATCTGTCAACACATAAATGTCTTACCTCTAGGAAGGAACTGAGCGTGCTGTCTGTGGGGTTGTGTGTGATCAGGAATCTCATGTTCTTGTGGCACAGTTCCACTGGAGCTGGACGATTCATGGTGGCCACTGTGACGGTTTGAAAGCCCAGGATGACCTTTGGATTCAAGTGCAACAAATGACATGTCAGTCAAAGCACAACATCATTTAAAACATGTAGCCAATATAACAAACACAAAAACAACAACAGTGCATGTCAGATTTTAACCACATTTCATGCTACCTTTTTCTCATGAACAAAAGTCCATTCTGCAGATATTGTCTCACCTATTGCTGATATATTCTCACTTTTATCACCATGGCAACGGTAGAAAAAGCACAGGTGTAATAAATGATCGCTCAATACCATTTAGCTGCTTTCGTTTCAAGGTCCCGGCTCAACCTCGTGGCCTTCCAGGGTGTCCATGAATGGAAAAGAGCCCTCGTTAGTGTTATTGGTAACACCTGTGCCTCTCCTAGTCTGACATGTTATGTCTGCTCTGAAGGAAGCTCACACCACAAGCTTTACTCCCCTCTGGTTCCTTTTTTTTTTTTTAAGTGTAACCAGACCTGTTATAACTTCTCAAAATGAATCATGAGGTCAAATTTCTACAGAAATGTAAAAGAGAGATGAAATGACAGTGTCCTGAGAGATGTGTGATACTTCATGAAAAACAATACATGACCATAGGTGTTTTTATTAATTTCCTTAACTCCATCTCATCTCAAAACTCTGGGGGTATTCTTATATCCATATTTTCATACTGTATAGTATGTGAGTTTGCAAGGTTGTATATTCCAAAAAATGTACAACAAGTGAGCTTCAGAGAGAGCATAGACAGATGCTCTACAGATTGTGAGAACCAAAGGTAATGGTGCAATGTTATTGTTAAGTTTGTATGCATTCTGCATGCAGTGAACATGCTGCAGTTAGTACTGTGGTGAAGAGAAAGTTTGCAATATGGAGGTCAGGGTCTGAAGATGGGTTTCTGCAACTGAAATATCGTTCACCTGTTATTGGGGGACAACTCATACCCCTATCTATTGGTGCATTGAATTTTGTATTTTCTTAATTCAAATTTATATTCTCACAACCCAGAATAACAGAAAACACCTGTGTGGGTTTGAAAGAAAATAAATCTGGTGTTATAGCTATCAGTCACTTGGACTCTAATGAAATTAACTGCAGGGTTTTTCTGCAATTTCTATCCAAATTTCTATCACATGTTTGTATACTGAACTTGACTGAAAACCAAACTTAAAAAACTTTGTTTTGACTACAAATAGGGCAATTATTTTGTGTCTCATGTTGACTGGAATTCTCCTGCTCACATCTCATCCGAGATAACACGGTCAGGAGCGTATTTTAGGATGGAATTTTAATTTCAATTATCTTAATTCAGGGATGCCTCACATTCCCCTGGCCATGCACAGACTTTAGCTGGAGCACTGATAAGAACAGTTTGGTGCCATCCGAGTCTTCTTCTGATAAGGATAGCAACATGTGAGTCTGAGCCAACAGGTTGGCAAGTGATGACTTTGAGCGTTATAACTGTCTCACTGAAGGATCTCGTCAAAGCCAATACTGCACATTCATAACACATAAGTGTAAAAGTTAGACTATATTACAAATACTTTGAGCAGGGTGCTGTGTTTAATTTCTATATCAGTTTCCTATGTCACATAAGGAAATTCCCCTATATTGTTAATGTCGCATCAACTTCATTTAGAATAAAGAAGCACTGAAAATGAGGAAGGTAGTGTATTTATGCACATGGCTGGTAAATGAAAGTATTCTTGTAAATACATCTAAGGCTGGAAAGGAAAGCCACAAAAGGATTCCAGCTTATATTGACAGAATTAATACAAGCTCAATAAGATAATCGAACCAGCTGCATGTGGACTGCTGGAGTTAAAAAGTGTTGGTGCATCACTATATTTACCTTTATTTCCAGCTGTAGCTGTTGTGTCTTTGACTTAAACCAGGTCTCTCAGTGACTGGGGACTGTTTGTCTCTTGTGGAGCGACTTATTTGGAGGCTGATTAAAACAGTTTAAGGTATTTTCCCAATTCCTTTAGTCTTGAGTCTTATCCCATCAGGTGTCTGTGTCCTTTAGTCCAGATGGCTTTAAAGTGTCAGCTTTTTCTCTGTTCGTCTCCTTGTTTCTGTTCCTCTGATTGTCCAGTTCTTTTCCCTCTTTGTCTCTCAAAGGCTCTCTCTCTCTCTCTCTCTCTCTCTCTCTCTTTCTCGCTCCAGTAAGCTTTCAGTGTTAAGGCTCCACTTGTTACCCCATGAGCTGGCTTGTTCAGAGGGCAAAGGCCAACGCTCCTTCAGGTCTCAGGGCTGCAGGTCTTCATGGTGCAGCCTCATCCCACGGAGGGTCTAAATGTGTTGGGCGTGGCAGTAGTCACCACTCCGCCGCACAAACTCCATCAACCAGCGATTCTAAAGTAAAAAACATAAAAAAATAAAATGAGAAATTTGCTTAAAAAACAGCTGAGAAGAAGGGCAAAAATGCTCCCTAGCAAAATACAACCAACAGGAAGACAGATGGTTGGATGACTGATATACATAGAAACACAAACATCATCATGTGTATTTGGTTTTAGAGGGATTTGTGGATTTTTTATCTTGATTTTTGGTCCTTGTAAGAACTTTAAAATTATACATTAAACCAACAAGCTAAATTCTGTAAAATACAGAGACCACCAGCTAATGCAAATATTCAAGACCTTTGATATACAGTATGTAAGTTAGCCCTGACAAAGAAGTCAGTTGTGTGCATACACATATGTACGTACATATGTGTATCACCTTACTCAACTGAACAATGTACTGAGTGTTCCTGCTTGCACTGATTGAACATGAACGCTGGTAAACATATGACAAATGCATCATTAGATAGAAAATCTAATAGATGTTTTTTTGCGAAAAATGGAAAATATATTAGATCAGCCTGCACAATATCAACCAGAATATATAATGTCTGAAGATAAACTTAGACAGAGTCTGTAAACTGGAAGTCTATTAAATGAACTCCAGGATAACTGTAAGTGTATAGGAGCAATGAATTTGAAGTTAGCTCCTAATGATTTAGGACAAATGATCTCAATCTGGAGAATAAAAACAAAACAACATAAATGGCAGGTTCAGGTATAACATGTCTTCTTGGGACCTCCAGCTTTATTGAGAAGGACTGACATTGTTTTAAAGGTCCTTTATGAAGCCATTTGTCTTCAACTTAAACGTATAAGCTGTTGACTTGGCCATATTTTCCACAAAGATGTTTTAAATCAGATACTGCAGTACATGTCTTATAGATATTTGAATCACATTTAAATTAACAGAGGTACAGTAAAATAAAAAACAAGGCATACTTAGCACAAGTTAAGGTTTAAAAATGTGTTTGTTTACAGCTCAGTTTCCTTGCCTTATTCTTAACTAAAGTGGGCCCAAATCCAACTTTATTTGCTATTTTATAGATAAAAGGGAAATTAGTGATAAGATTCTGTTTTCAGCTTGTTTGGAAAATAACTCAGATCTATGTTTTCTGTACAGATGGGTGGGGGTCCTCTCACTCACATGTCCAAACACTCAGACAAACAACCAGAGAATGTCCTGAGGTACTCTAATCCGTTGTCACCTCTTCACCTCAGCTCTGACCAAACACGCCTCACACACACACACACACACACACACACAACCACACACACACACACTCTTCATAATCACATGCCGACTTACTAACTCTTCCAGAAGAGTGTAGTCTATTCCAGGTAGTTGACTATAATTGGGAATTGATCCCGTGTTACCGCTAATCAGGCTAAAGGTCAATCATTTCCCGTCCAGTCAATACAGAAAGTGAAAGGAACATTTATCTTTCCTTTAGTAAGTTGAACATGAGTTCCATTTATCTGCTTACATCCTCATTTAACACAAGCACAACTAAATAAAAACTAAAAGAACAAGTATAAATTGTTTCACAAAAAAAGAAACAGGATGTCACAGAAGACGAAACTCACATCACTGGCACTAAAACACAGATTAGGTGTAAAAACGAAACTTCTAAACACAAAACACATTTAAATACTAACTCTTCACAAGTACTGTTGTCACTTTAGGCCTTCAGCTAACATCTACAGGGAAGTGAAACAACCTAAGAAACATAAAGGACCATGAGGGAAGGGACTAGACAGCAACAGTAATTCCAAATTGAAACTGTAAAGCCAATCTTCCCTGTTACCTTAGAGTGCAGTTTGGTTTGTAAAAACAGGTGCGTCTCCCAGTTGGTCTTCAGGCTGCCTGGCTGTTTCCCTGTCACAAGCTGGGTCAAGACCCAAAGAAGTTAAAAATGGATCTCAGTATTATTTTAGAGGCGTGTTAGGCTGCCAAAACCTTTCTACAGAACCTGCAACGTGAGGCTGAGTGAGACACGGTAAGCCTGTGGGTTAGTAGTAAAGACAACAACGAGGCAGGTTAGTATTAGTTTTTAAATCCTGTTAAATCACATCCACCTCTTCTGCCGTCTAGTTTACAACCAGAGAGGACTTTTACCGCAGCAGCCCCTACTCTGAATAAGGTAAAGCGTTAAATGCCTAAATCTAGACTGAAAGCCTGCACTAATACTCAGCCTTCCCTCTTTTACCGCCGTTGACAGCTTGGCTGCCCAACAAGGCAATCTCCAAGCCCCTGACCGGTAGTAACACCAAAGTCCTGCAGAACCAGCAGCAGCAGCAGCAGCCGAGCAACCGTGTGAGTGCTGACTTACTACCAGCTGACTGTTAGTAAACCCCTGACCTCCCTGCAGCTGTATTTATAGCTGTACTACAGCTGATTGTATGAAACTTCACAATTTTGTGTATCCATGCTAGTCTAATGTGTCTCTTAACATTCTCAGCTTGAGCTTCAGATGAGGGTCGACCAGCCCGATTATCATTTTACAGGAACATGACATACGTTTGTTGCTGTCAACAAGTGTGAAAAATTGCAAAACTTGTTACATAAAGTTAAAGTGTGACACCTTTTTTATTTGGTCATAACAACAATCAAGCAAATCTTACCTGCTTTTAAGTGTCAACTCCAACCACAAACTAAATATCAGCAGAGTCCACCTGCATTCACTCTTTTTTTCTGCCACTAGAATCTATATTTCCTCATAATGACACACAGAAAAAAAGTCTCCCTGCAGCAACATGTAGCTCTGCCCCACTGCTACACTGAACTATGCACCTCCACCTGTCCCTCCTCCGGTATGCTGCGAGTGCCAGATTGTGTCTCTGCCTGGCTGTGGCGGTGCAGTGTGCCGCGCTGAGGATCTGCTGGGAGCTGGTCTAATCAGGCTGAGCAGCCATCTGACCCTGACAGCCCTGTCACCAGCAGAACACTCTACAGTTAATGCTCTTAGAGAGAGAGAGAGAGGGGAGAAGAGCCTCACTCCCTCCTCCTCGTCCTCTTCTTCTTCCTCCTCTTTATCCACTTGATTCCTTTTTCACTCCCCTCTTGCAGGGCATGGAAGAGGTGCCCCCCCTCATGTTTTCCTCTACTCTCTTTTTACTCTTCCTTCTTCAATGGTTCAGTCCAGGAAGTCCTTCAGCACACACATACACAAAAAAGTAAACAGAGCTATTACAAAATAAATCGAAGTCTGTGTTTCCCGTTCATGTTTCTCCTCAATCTAATAAGAGAACATGTTAGATTGAAGGTCTAATAAGCTTTTTCTTTTTTTTTTTTGCTCTGACACTTCTGTCTGGATCTCCTCTTGTTTTCCTTTCCTTCGTCTCTGCCCCCTTTTCCCTCCCTGAACCATCTAAAAATAGACGCTCCTTTTAGCCAACAGACAGATTGGACAAGTCAAACCTTCTTGGTCTTGTTCATGGAATTAACTCTATTCTTAGTGAGAAAAGAAGCAATGATGTTGTTGTTGTGGTGGTGGTTTTCCTGCAGCCAAACTAACTTGTGAAGCTGCTTCAATGTTGCTACAGTGCACCAGTCGATGTGTTTTTTCCCCCAAAAAAATCTAACTAAGACGGTGAAAGTTGATGGGCACGCTACTTAACACACATCCATTGATCTATTAAATCCAGAACATCCACACAGATTTAGATAATTGGGGTATTTTTCTTCCACATTTCATTTTAAGTAACTGTTCTATCCAATTTGTTTACAAAGTTATGGTAAAGATATGTGAGTCCACAGAGTCACAAGGTAGTCATGCTGTAGACACAGGCTTTTTTTAAAAGTGGAACAAGCCGAGGTCTCACCTCACTATCAATCACTCTGAGTGAAGGTTAACATGACTGTTCACCCACGCAGAGAGCTTTGAAAGAGAAAGAAAACACGTCCTACCAGCTAAAATTAGCCAAAGCACAACTTGAACGCTTTCCAGTTTGTCACATTAGGATTTGACTGTTTGTACTCTTGCCTCCTGCTTAAAGCTCCAGTCAATGTATTGTGTCTAATGTGACTGAGTGTTAGAATATTTATATACTATATCAGGGCTCAGTGCAATCTCATTTTAGTTCGTTCTAACAGTAATCACTGACTTGCCATACTGTAAGTGTTGGTCAGTGAGATCAGAACACAAAGTGACAGCAAAGACCTTTAAAAGAGGAAGAAGAAGATGAAACTAGACAAGGATTAGTCTTTTTTTTTCAAAAGATTTTGACTCAACAATATCTAAACATAGAACAGAAGTAAATGTGGCTTGTGCACATACTGTACAGTACTTGTTTTACAGCTCGTGTGTGATCACAGCAGATAGAAAGAGATGGGAACATGGGAGTGAGGTAAGGACACGGCATGTAAGAAAAGGTTCAGAGGGAAGTTGTGATCTGTGAGTGAGACCGCAAAGACATTTTTCTAGTCTCAGTTTATCATCTGCCTCTACAGTTTAGACTATAAACATGACCACTGTTATAGACACAGGGTTACTGAAGCTTACTGACTATGTGCTTTATTAAACGACTCTAAAATAAATTGTTACTATCAAACTGATGTTCATGTTTTACGGGAGTTGACTGGGTTTCCAATCATTACACGATTGACGTCTGTTCCATTTTTGTATACAATAGTTTTTGTGTTTTTTTGTTATCGTTTATTTGAAACATTGCATGTTAAGTCTTTAAAAATGAATGCTATGAAGAAAGAAAAGGTAGAATACTCACAAAAATCCTTTTTATGGACAATATGACACAGAAATATGTCAAATAATTCCATGAAGTCTGTTCACTTAAGAGGGAAAATTGTACTTAATTTTTTACACTAAAATCTATTTAATTCTGTTTATTCTTCTATTTTACTTCTGTTTCTTAATTCAAATTCTAAATATTTCTCCAAATAATTCAAATGTTATTATGAGATTTTATGCAAGAAGTGTAAACAACCTGGGTGCATTATGCAAGCAGCGTTTGAACGTACCCAAAAGGATCTGTGACACACTGAAAATGACTTTACTGTCATTTTGTTGTGAGTGAACAACGCCTTTCACCTGTAGATCCTCAGGTTCTCCCAGCTTAATCACATGTGCATACACAGGTGTGTTAAATACATATGGTCACATGGTCAATCATCACAATAGAGTTATTCTGGGTCGTAGCCTCAAACGAGGACTACAGTGTGTATCAAAACAACATGACATAATTCCTATCATCCACATACTGTAGTATCGAAAAGTACATTTACAAATACAGAGCACATCCACAAGAACATTTACAAAAAATAACTAGAAAAGTACCAATTCATGTCAATTAAATATATTGATCAAAGTCCTTTCTACTATGGCTTACTGAATATAATAACGGACTACAAAGGAAGAAGATCTTTCTTGAGGGGGGGGAAATGGATTTTGATATGTTATGTAGAACAAGCTGCATCAATACAACTCCAAATTTGAGTTGAAAATTTCAAACAGTACTTCCTTATGAGAGGATGTGAAATCGAAATGTGTGTTTTTGTGCAGCAAGGTGTGTTGCAACAGAATTGAAGAAAAAAGTGATTTGGCCTTTACTATAATGTTTATCAATGCTTTAAGTTAATAGCAGCTTACATCTTGAACATTATAATCTATACTTACTTGTTATAACTGCTTCCAAAACGCTCACACTCCGACTCTCAAAGGCCTCCTCAGTCTGAACGTCTTGAGGAACTGTCTGCTTCTGCCTGACCATCTGTTTTGAAGCTTCAAACAGCACTGGCCTAAACATGGTTGATGCAATGGTTTCTGGAAATGTGAGCTGACATCTTGTAGGTCAGCCCTCAGCTGGCAGTCCCGTGATTTTTGAGGAGCCTAAAGGACACTTAGTTTTGAGACCGGTTAAGGCCTGATGAGAGAAGCTGGCTGACCTGCAGAGACTTAAACAACAGGTACACAAGGAAATGTCAAGAAGGTGTTCAAGTCTTTGTTTTTTAATCAAGTAAAAATGGCGCAATTATCAAAGTTTGTGCTAATGTACGTGTTTCTGAATGTGCGTCTCTTTTATTTCAGTGACTACGTGTTGTGTTTGAAGCTGTCAATAAAATGTAGAATGCTAAAACGCTAATTATTTGAATTTGAATTGAGTAAAAATAGAAAATGTAGCTGTTCCATTGCGAAGATTGTGAATTTAAATTGAGCATCATATCCCGTTAAAATGATCGCACTGCAATTAACTTCACTGATGTCATAACAAAATCAAAAGGAGACTGCTGCTGAAGAGATGTTACAAGTGTGAGTAAAGGTCCATTAACATGTTATTTAACTAGATTAAGCTTTTCACAGCCTTACGCAATGATTAATGCTATTTACAACACCTAAAGTCTTTATAGAGTTGCCCTAATCTGCCTCAGTCTGCTGTATTTGTCTCAGATGAATACAAACATAGGATCCAGTAAGAAGAAAATTATCTAACCTACAGTATAACCTATAAGCAGAATGTATAACTCACCAGTTTGTCAGCCAGCAGCATTATCCATATAACAGGTAAATAAAACTGGTGCTTTTTCAACATGTCTGCATAGTCATTTCCTCAATGCTGATGAAAGGCAAGCTTAACATTTACACCGATTCACAATGTTGATATATAAAATTACAAAGTGTGTCTGTTCCCCTGGACTTGTTTGTAATTCTGCCCCACTACTCACACTCGTCATTCACTAGTGTGAAATGCTATGTAATTCCCAAAGCAATAACAGGAAACTGGATATGAAAAAGGAAGCTCAGTTTCTCCGAACAGTCCTTTCTCTTAAACTGAACTGCCACGTCCTGTTTCACACACAGTTAAATGACATCTCACACAATGTCAGATTTCAGTTATATATCTAGTATTAGAGAACTTTATGGAGCAGCAGGTGCATCACTTCGCAGGGGAAACCGAGCCGCTCATTTGGTCAGGAGTGCATGGTGGAGAAGTCGCAGTATGCTCTGTGTCGGATCAGATAATATTTTAGAGGCTTCCTCCTTTAAGCCATGCTAATATTTAGAAGTTCAGCAAGAGTACCAGAGGAAACGTGTCACTTTGTTCAAAAGCAGAACAAGTGTTGAGGAAGAGGTATTCAATTGTTGCAAAGTGGTTTCATACCTATAGTCGAAAAAGGTATTAATTTACTCTACTTTTAGTCTAAATTCTACAGAAAGAAAGTGAGACAAATTCTCAATTTGAAGTGATGATAATTGATTCTGTAGATGACCTTTAACCTTTAAAGCTTTACATACTATACAAGAAATGATGGAAAAGCCCTGAGTGTGTTTTTGCACATAAGCACCTTCAAAAACCTTTACAGCAGAACTCACTCACATGCACAAACTACATGCACAAAACATTTGTAGGAAAATCCTGCACGTACGTACACAAAACACACATACACACATACACACACACACACGCACACACAGGTACAAATAACAACAAACACACTCATACAGACACACACCGCAGAGCATGTGGCAGGCAGCAGCAGCTGCTGTGTGTATAATTAGATTGTTTTGAAAGCTGAGAGTTGAACGGCAGGACTTTCAGCTACAGACTTAAGAGTTTCCATGACAACTAGCTGTCAGCATGACAATACAACTTTACTATGTTAGTTACATTGTACAAGCATAAGTTCTGAAGTGAAGAAAGTAGAGAATAAAGAGTAGAAAAAGTAAGACAGTGTGCGATTCATGTCCTCATGCAAATCGCTGGAACAAAAGCAATATAAGATTGTTTCTTAATCAGAATGTCCATTAACACATGTTCAGCAGGTTATATTTGAGGTTACATATCAATACTTGTAACTAAATAATCACTTCACCATTTGCTGAGATTTCTGGCTTTAAAAAACTCCCTCTCCATCTTAATGTCTACCCCTTCTGCTTTGGAAAAAAACACACCCACAGGACTTCAAGACAAATAAAAGCTCCAAATGAACTCCTCGGTTTATCTCATTGCGTATATTAAACCTAGAGGTATATGTAAACATAAGCTATGCTCATTGTCCAGATTTACAGACATAGTTTGTATATTTTTGCACTTGGCAGAAATAAAATAGCAACCGCAAATTTAAAACATCTTGTTGGGGCAGAACAGAGAAATCGGATCCAATCTGTCCAAACCAAATTCATCATTGAGCCTTTAAGTCATATGATTCTGATGTGTGCAACAAATATGCCTAACTATTCTGCCCTACAAAGGCAAAAGGCAGTAACTTCAATTTTTTCAAAAATTAGTTTTTGTCATTTTTGGAACATTACAGATGTGCTTTATCATGTGGACAAATATCTTGAGTCAACTGTGTTGTTCTTTTGAGAAAATAGTAGGTTGTATTTGCCTTAACTTCCAAAAGCCCTCAAGAAACCAAGGCAGAGTTCAGTAACTTCACTCATCAGGGTCTTTGCCTTTGTACTGCAGCATTCAGGAATACTCAAACTGAGTTAAGGTATTCTGCCTTTGTTTTGCTGCGGATCAAAGTGAAGTTACTGTTTCACTGCAGTGGAGTTAAGGTGTTATGCTTTAATATCTGTCATCAAGCACTTAATTGTGCCATGATCACTAGATTTCATGTATATGTTATCATTATTACCATATACTGATTTATTATAGTGATCAGCAACCAAGGGAGCTAACAAATGGAAGTTACTGCCCTTTGCCTTGGCATGACCCCTTATTATTGTACAGGCAATGCAACGGCAGAGTACCTTAACTTCCAAAAAGGGTCAAAGGTCATGTTTAAGCTCAAGATTTTTATGTACATTAATAACCTGATTAAAAAGACAAAGAATTGCCTCATTTCCAATATTCTGCCTGCAACTCATTTGGCTGGACAACAAAAAGACTTTAAAGTCATTTTTCTCAGTTCTACACTCTGGCAATATTTATAAGACGTCCATTTTGAATCAACTGGATCTTCAGATTTCCAACAAGTGTCACACACATGTCATTAAAACAATCAGAAACCTCTAGCAATTAAAACACTCAACATATCTAAACATATTTATTCTTACAAAGATGGACAGCACCATAAGCGACACTCTTATATTCAAAGATGCCCATTATCTGTGTACTGAATAAACATGAAGAGGGATTCGAAATTCTGTCAAACAAAGCTTCTTGGGAACCAATTTTGAAATTCAGGCAAAACATACTCCATGACATCAAGGTGTTCTATTTTTCTTCAAAAAGATTGGCGATTCATTTAATGAATTTGATTTGATGATGATGATTTACAATGATTTGCATTAAAACACTGTTTACAGTAAAACACAAGTGATGCTTATTTGTTATTGGAAAAACATTTTTAAAAAAGGATCTGATATATCAGTTGAGTTGCCTGGGCCCTATAACCTGAGTCAGTGCAAGTGGAACAAAAAGAGCTGCGCAGCTTACCTTCTTCATTCAAGCCAGTTGACACCCTGCCTCCAGAAAGTAGACAGCAATCGCCCTCTAGTGGACTTTAGGAGGAAATGACACAAAGTTGAAGAATGCGCTGTCACACAATTGGTTGACTATTGACTATCGTTAACAATGCAAATTCAAAAATATACTTTTTATATTTTATAAAACAGAAATGTATTCTTGAACTTATCTTCTATATAAACTGCAGACTCACAATAATTAAAGACTGAAAACTTGTACATTCAGCTGAGAAATTAGATTTGTTTAAGACATTTTGACATTTAGGAAAACATTTATACATGTAATGAAAATAATGATGTCTGAATTTCCTTTAGCCTCTTCATTCTTCTTTCATACTGCTAACTCACCTTTAAAGAGTCATAACTTACTAACATATTGGAACAGAGTCACGTAGTCCAATGTTGGTGTTTGTTTAGAATTTATTTGTATCAAATGGTCATCTAGCCCAAGATCTAGTTGCCCAAGATTCTTGAAGAAGAAAACTTTTTATTCACACTTTTTTCTGTTCCAAATGGGTAAAGACATTATTACTTGGGATGTCGTATAGCTTCATCTGTTTCATGACCTCATTTATCTGTACGATCAACTGGCTCGGTGTTTTCAGGTAACACAGCAGGTGCAATCTTAAATGACTTGGCAACTTATCACTGAAGTGTAAACACACTGTAGAACAATATACATGCGAGAAAAAGAGAAATAATTGCCTTTTGTATCGGGGAATTTCAATAATATCTGCAATGTACGACCTATCAGTCACATGTCAGATGTTTCAAAAAAATTAGGGTCAGAGTTGAATGGAGAAAATAGGCTAGCAGGGCAAAGCTTAGTCAGGGTTAGCTTGATGTTCAAATGGCTTCACACTGACGTGGGCTGAGTAAGACCCATCTGCTGCTCTCTGCTCTTCAGCCAGCACTAACTGGATTAAACCTGTTGCAAACACTCGTCATGTGAGTGTGTGTGTGTGTGTGTGTGTGTGAAGAAGAGGTGGCATTATGTCTTAAAAAAGATGCTCACGGGGAAGTCTCCTGAGTTTCCGGTCCACCAGGTGTTACAGTGTAAAAATGTAGTTTACCTGCTGCCGTGTAACCTTGTTGTGTGTTTTAATCAGTCAGTCTGTGGGAATGACCTGTGCAGCTGTGAAAATAACTGTTGTCGATTAAATTGTACTCTGCTGGATGTTAAGTGTAGCAGACATCTCTGATGTTGAGGAGGCTGTGTATTGCTGTATAACTGAGAGTAAAGCAGTCATTAGTTTCCCCAGCATGACTTTCTGTGACTAATCCATAAAGCTTTGACCTCCAGCATTCAGGAAGGAAACCCTATTTCATTCAAGTAGGATTATATGACCCATTCAATGTAGTATGTACATCTGTCTGCTCACTTTAGCATACATTTGTAAACCCCCTTTAAAGGATGAATGTATCTTATGTGACCATGTACAATTTGAGGCACCTTTATTTTACTCTCAGTGTTTCTGTTAACACTTGTATGACAGCTTTACTTACTTTTCAGATTTAAATTTAGTCTTTTTTTGTACACAAATGTATTTTTTTTCGAATTTGTTGATTTTGAGTTTATAGTTTCTGATAAACTGAAGGACCACATAGCTAAACAAGTTTTTACTCTACATTAGCTTAAAAGTTAGAAAACTATCAAAATAAACCGAGCTGTCTTTCTACTGTAGATTAGCTTAAACAATTGTGACAGTAAAGTACAACTTACAAATAATGCAGAATAATACTTCTAAAATCATTATACATAATTGTATAACATTGACAGGAACCATTTTATTGGACAATAGGTACTTCTGATAGCCTACTAACACTAAATTATCAATCTACAATCTTTATTTGGATCGCGCCCAATTCATAACCAATGTTATCTCACTATATAAGAGCAGGTCAAATACCTTACTCATTGTTTTTTTTATTATTTACATAGACACAACATTAGCCCATCATGAGCAATAAGCAACATTTAGAAAAGTTACAGTAGCAAGGATTAAACTTCCTTTTAAGAGGCAGAAACCTTTAACAGAACCAGACTCATGATGAACACCCGTCTGCTGAAATTATGTTGGGCCAGGAAAGGGAGAGGTAGATGCAGGGAAAAGGAGCAGGATGGAGACAAACAGAGCAACAACAGCAAAAATGAATAAGATGGATTTATAGCTACAATGTCAGTAATATTGGTAAACGTATGTGTAGTATTAAATTAACAGTAACAGATAAGTATGATAATAGACTAATACGAATATTAGCAACTGTAATGATGATGAAATGGGAAGGACTGATTATGTCAATTATAGAGGCTGAAGTCAAGCAGCTCTAAGATTCACTTTAATATTATTATTGAAAGATGTAAGGCTGTAAAAAGGGGGGGGGGGGCACCATAGCAGCAGGCTGTACCCCCAATGATCCAGAAGAACCGTAAGAGACAAGGGAGCCCAGGAGCGTCCAAGAAGATATATGGCTCCCAGAATGCAGGCAAGCAGAGGAGTAATACGGCACTATTAGCTCTTTTAGATAAGATGGTATACCCGGCCATTAAGAGATAAGTTGTTAGTAAGAAGAAGGATTTCATAGGAAGCCAGTGCAGAGAAGCCAGTACAGGAGTAATGGGATCTATTTTCCTAAATCTAGTCAGTACACGAGCTACAGCATTGGGGACCAGCTGAAGAGTCTTTAGAGACTTATTATGGCAGCCTGATAAAAGAGAAAGTTCATAATAACATACACTTTTACTTACAGTAAGTAAGGTTTCATTGCAGGACTTTGAAGTGAAGTACTTTCACAATATGTTATTAAGAGTATCTGAATTCCGATTCCACAACTCTACTGCATCCAGTCTATTGCTTGAATCAGACAATGTACTCAGTTATTCTTTATTGTGTGACTTTGGAAGAATTATCCCACACTGATTTGATCAAATCAGTTTCTTAAAGTTTGATGAGAAAATTATCAAACTGACTTAAAGTCAACGTGTCGTTTTTTCTTTCGGTACGATCTTTTAGAAATATACAGTTGAAAGAAATCCCTGCACACCTGAATGTGTAAAAGGTGCGTCGGAGGAGGGTAAAGTTTAAAGACTGAGAAAGGCTCCTGCACTCTGCCTCGCTTTATGCTGACATATTTATTTGATCATACAACATTTTGGTCCAATGTGATGCATGAAATCTTTGTAATGGAAAAAAAAAAAAGTTCATTTTGAGACTCAAGAGTGATGTTCACCAAAGCATTCAGCCTCATCTAACACTCCCCCCAGCTGATCACCCACTTCCTTTCTCCTTCATTTGTTTGTCTCTTGCTGTCTCCCATTACCCCCCCCCCCCCATTATCATGCATACGTATTTTCTGGTAATTAATTAATTAATAATATTTAATAATATGCCCATTAAAGGAGGAGATGATCAAGGTTTTTTTCAAGCTTAAGTTACTACGTGAAGTAAATCATTCACTGTTATTGACAGACAGAACATAATTCTTGATAAAACAAATTGGCATAGTGTTAACTTGTAACGACTGTGGGCAGAGCACTGCTGGCTGGGGTTCCCAGGCCACCTTAGGGCTGTCCCCGACACAGACAGAACAAACTGTGAGCCTAAATACTTGAGAAGACGTTCCAGATTGTTCAACAGAATCTATTCAACTGGGCAATACTATAGACTATAGTTACTGTAGCTCGTGTGAAGCCCTTTGAATTGCCTTGTTGCTGAACTGTGAAATAGAAATAAATTTGCCTTGCCTTAAGTGGAATAAAAGCTGCACCTTTGAAATGTCTGACATCAAACAGCGAGTTCAGGGTAGGTATGGTAACTTAGTTGACATATTAAGTCAGCAGACGGGTCAAGATTAGTAAACTGTGAGGTGGCTGAATGTTTTGCTGTAAGAAACAGATGGCCTGTTGGGATTAGACAGGTGACCTGCTCAGGACTTGGCTGAAGGTGCTGAGATTCCCCTAACGCCTCACAGCAGAAAATAACAAGCTTTATCTGTGATTTTACATTCAGTTCCCTCTAATATCGCTTGTAACATGGCAATCGTTGATCTTGGGTTAAATTCATTCAAGTTGTACTGCATACATACTTCAAGGCTTGATTTCAGAACAATTTTGAAGCGTATTAAAAGTCATAGTTCAAATTCAGAATCATGTCTCAAGTACTGCTCAATGAAATGATAGAATCTTGTTCTATAACAACTGAAATTTTTGCTCAAAGTATCTTAAGAAGTATGAAAACTTTACAGAGAAGTTGTGCTTATGTGGTCTAGATGCACTGCTTAATTCCCTGTGGAAATCAAGGTCTGTCTCTTTTGGAATGCAGCAGCCTGAGGTCAGATTAAAACAGGAAGGGGCCAGTTGGCCACGTGTGAGCCAGGTTGGAGTTAAGGCTTAGGAAGAGATCAACGCTGGAGGATATATAAATCAGCTCAAACAAATAGACCGTCACACACATTAAGCACTGCTGCTCTTGGGTCGGTTCTTACAGCCCAAACGGAGAGGAAATTCATCGATCTGTGGAAGTTAACAATTGAGGATCTACACAACAGACGGGAAATCTCTCCCTGATTCTTCTGCCCAACTTTTCTGTCGTGGTCTTATCTGCATCAGCCGCCATGGTTCTGGAGGACGAGGACTCAGTCTTTGAGCCCACAATCACTGTGAGTATACAGTCACACAGAGTTTATGCTAATCTTAAAAATAGATTCACTGTTCACAGGTGTAATCCTTCTGCATAGTTCAACGACTTTTGAAGTCTGCAAAACTGCACATATAGACAATTGGGTTTAAATGAGTGAACATTCAGAGTATTTCGTTTCAGTTTACATTAGAAAAATACATCTGCATTTAATGTTTTGATTTAAAAAAATTAAAAAATATATAAATTTATATTTTAAGCCAAACACACACAAGCTCGCGTTATTCCAAATCAGTGACTGAATTTGTGTTTTGTTTTTTTCAGGAGGAGCATGTGGAGACTCTGTATGGGAACGTGCACTGCATCATGACGGGGACTCCAAGGGCAAACCGCCCCGTCATCCTGACCTTTCATGATGTTGGACTGAACCGTAAGTATCAACTCTTTGCAACACATTTGTAATGTTGTTATCCTGCACATAGATATTATATATTAGTATCAAAGTAAGAGGAAACATTTTTCTTTTTTTCTTGTACACTTAAATTGTGTTAAACTTCTGTGTGACAAAAATCATAATCTGCCTGATCCACATCCAATTAGCTTTTTGTTTCTTTCAGTTGCTATTCTGTATAATGTTTCATATTCCTCTAATAATAAATGTAATACTACACTTCAGCAGGACTGACATACATTTTTTCTGTTTTTCTTTTAGACAAGTCCTGTTTTGAGAAGCTGTTCAGCCACGAGGACATGTTTGAAATCACGAGGCATTTCCCTGTTTGTCACGTCGAAGCACCTGGACAGCACGAGACAGCAAAGACTCTGCCACCTACGTAAGTGCACGTCTTTAGTATTCTCAGTTATTCTCTCTCTATCATCATTTACCATCATTCAATAATCCATATTTGTAACAAACCAGCTAATAGTTCATGTTGACCCCTCAGGTACATCTATCCAACCATGGACCAGCTGTCTGAGGCTCTGCCCGCTGTCCTCAAACATTTTGGGTGAGACAGACCTGAACAAATACTTTTCAGCTGCCCTTTCATTAAATGTGAGGATGTTTTATTCACACAGTGTGCAGGGGTTTGTCTCAGTTTTGACCTGTTGACTGCTTTGCAGGCTGCGCACTGTGGTTGGACTGGGAGTCGGAGCAGGAGCCTACATCCTGGCGAAATTCGCTGTAAGTTTTCTGAACCCCAGCACAGATCTTCAGTTTATTACTATTTAAATGCGTAGGTTAATCAGATTTCAGGCAAAGTTATTAAGATGACTTTTTCTATGCAAATCTACAAAGTTTTACATTTTCTAGCAGTCATGTTATCTTTGAAAAACACTAAATAGGGAATAGAAATATAGAATCTAAGATTGAAACTGATCAGTATCTATAGCTGTAAAAGTCAGGTATGTGACCTGTTAGTTCCCACAATAAATAAGAGAACTGCAGAAAAACATGTTAATAAAGGAGGTTGTTGAAGTTATCGCTAACGGCTCTTGTATCTCTGTTTGTGGTTGTGTGTAGTTGAATCATCCTGAGCTGGTGGATGGATTGGTTTTGATCAACATCAACCCCAGTGCTGAAGGACTAATGGACAGTGTTGCATACAGGGTGAGCATTGTGTGTTATGTGTGTTTGTTGATTACCCAGCCTGTGGCCTGGATCAACATCTGTTTCAAATACTTTTCAATTACAGATTTAAATTTACATTTGGTTTATTCTGATACTTCCTTTGCTTCTATATGCCTTGTTAATTGAATATAAGTTGAATATATTTAGGTTAGAAGCTGACTGTAACTGAGTGTATGTTTTTTTTATTTTGTGTTAAAGATCACTGAATGGACCCATACTCTCCAGGACCAAGTCATCGCACATTTGTTTGGAAAAGTAAGTAATTAATGATTAAGCTTCAGCGACAATCAAAACATCAGAAGAAATATACATCTTAAACTAAAAATATCTCTTTCTTACTTTCAGGAGGAGATCCAGACCAACCATGACCTCATAGCTACATACCGCCACAACATCACAACAACCATGAATCAGTACAATGTGAGCCAGTTCTACCGCTCCTACAACAGTCGCAGCGCTTTGGATGTGGAGAGGCCTGTTCCTGGAGGAAACATCAACGTCAGGACCCTCAAGTTAGTACAACTATTGATCTTTTAACAGGGAATAGATAATAGAATAACCCCTTTTTGAATAAAAGAAAGTTTATCCATCGTGGTCAGTAATGGCCCAGTTGAGCTGAATCTACGGTGCTCAGGAAGATTGTATCTGTTAAGCTTGATTGGTTCTTTGCAGCAGGCTCTGTAAACTCCTAACTCTTTCACCTTCTTGTATGTTGATCTACAGGTGCTCCACTCTGCTGGTTGTAGGCGATGATTCTCCAGCTGTGGAGGCCGTGGTCGACTGCAACTCCAAACTTAACCCCACCAAGACCACACTGCTCAAGGTAACAATCAAATAATAATAAAAAACAGTTCCATATAGTTCTCTTCATGTGATGCAAAGTAATCTTAGAATGTATGACAGCATCTTACAGGGGGAAAAATAACTTTTCCTTGCTATAAATTCATCTGAAAATCAAACGTTTTACCCTCAAACTGCAGACATTATCTGACATTTGCACTTTTTTCTTGTAGATGTCAGACTGTGGAGGACTTCCTCAGGTGGTTCAGGTAGGCTAGGACATTTTTTGTTGGCCACTCCACTGGCTATCATATGCAGAATCTGCTTTCCTGATTGGTTGATAAAATATATTAATGTATTGTCATGTCTCTCTCACAGCCAGCAAAAGTGATTGAAGCCTTCAAATATTTCATCCAAGGCATGGGATATTGTAAGTCACAGTTATACATTAGCCCTTAATATTGTCGCATCTCACATATGACTAGTGGAAGTATTTGCCTTAGATTTCGGATGGGCATTCAGTGCAGAAGTTGATTTCTCACTTGCAAAATGTAAAAGAAAGTCAAGCAAATCTCTCTCTCTCTCCTCTCTCTAGTGTCCAGTGCCAGCATGACCAGACTTCGGTCACGAACGACCTCCAGCTCCAGCATCTCGTCCTTCGATGGCTCTCGTAGCCGCGCACACACCAATGAGCTGCGTGGCAGAACCCACTCACATGGCACTGAAGAGAAGCGCGGGCGCTCACAAACTGATGCCTCTATGGATAACATTTCCAACAATAATATGGACCACATGAACTCAAAGTCCACAGAGCTGGCATGTTAGAGATAACTCTGTGCTCCTAAATCCCATGCACTTAAACCCAATCATACCTCATTAGCTCCACCCATATAGCTCCGCTCATACCTTAACTACCATCATATTGACATCCTTCTTATGTCTGTCGGGCCCTTTCAGATGCACTATCACTAGTTGAGAAGCCAGGTAGCCATTTTTTTTTTTTTACCCTTTTAAATTATGTATTTCCCTTCATCAGTTTAACAATCCTGTGTCTCTTCCTTTCTATCGATCTGCTCTTTATTCTACCTTGAACTGTTGCTGTATGTCTCTACCTCTGTTTCTTCTTTTCTACGTATGTCTCCTTTTTTTCCCTGTTCATGTCTTTGTCTTTTTCTTGTCTTTTATTTTCCATTTCTGCCCTCTAACTCTGATCCCTGTACCAGAGGTTCTGCTGCAGGCTTCAGACGTTGAAAATCAAGTCCTTAAGCTTCCACATGTGAATTAATGTATCATGAGTATATCTCCCATAGTGTAAAAACTGGATGTTCATTACTTAAAAAATGTGTACAATTTATAATATGTAACTATGATGGCTGTGTGATAATAAACAGCAGGAATGTGTTTGACATATATATTTTAGACTCTTTTTAAATGTACTGTGCAATGTTACTTTTATTGTTACATTAAGTTCAATCAGTAAAACAGATAACTTTATGTAAGTGTCTTTGTGCTTTCAGTGAATAAACACTTGAATAAAAATAATTATCCATCTCGTTTGTTATTTTCTGACTACAGATAAACAGAATAATTGAGCTCCTTGACATTCATTACTGCTCGAGTTAAAAACAAAACCAGAATTACCAACAAAGAACCTTATTCTGCTTGGTTATCTGGGTATGATAGATTCCTGTAAGAGACAGACGGCCTTCAACTCTATCATGATAAAGATTATACATTGAAGGACAGTGCACCGATTCTACACACATCAAAATCTGTCAGGCTTTGGTCATTTGGAAACATATCTAAACATATCTTGCATAATGCATTTTGCAGCTCCAATTCTGTGAGTAAGAAAGTGAGCTTAGCAGACCTCTTGTAGTTCTCTCAGCTTTAAGATGACAACTTTAGGCTTTTTTAGTGACAAAAGAACAGTATACAGATTCAACAGTGTAAAGCATCAAATAATCAGTGACATTAGAGGAGTACTTGAGAAAAGACAAAATATTATAAAACAAATTGTTTTTTTTGGTATTCTAAATAGGAGGTAGTTTCCCATATTGCTAAACTGTAATTTACTAATAGTATGTGTTGACAATAAAATTATCAAATTCACTCTAAAAATATCTGAGTCTGTGACTGAATAGCCATAACTTCAAATGAAATGTAAATGTACATTTTGAACCAGATAAAGAAGGTTTTATTCATCTGTGGGGGAAATATTGATAATATTTGTGATCACTGTTCATTTTTTCATTTGAGAATTTGATGTGAAAAACACCAGCAGAAAACCTAACATAAGTGAATGTAGGAACTTTTCACATTAGATATGGTTTTGTTTTCAGCAACATTGTTATTGGTCTTAAATATGTGTTCAGTCAATATTCATAGATATTGTCATTTCTATGAATAAACTGTATCAATAACAGCCTTGTACAAACTTTCTTAACAATTGCGTTCCATCTGTCATTGTGTACTTCTCAAATCTGTTCACTAGATGGAGCTCTATAACATCCTCTGGTTTCTCTTGGCGCGCTCGACCACCAATGAGTCAGGCTATGTGGTTTAGGAACATTTAAATCCCATATTCAAAACACTACAGATTGTTTTGAACACTAAATTCAAATCACATGGACACAATCACTCAAAAAAATAAAGAAAAACCAATCATCTCGCACAGCATTATGGAGCTTTTTAATATATCTTATGGTTCATATTTACCCTTGGCCTCCCCCCAGACAGCTGGATTAAAGTGCACTGTATAATAGTTTGCTTTTAATCCCAGATTTTCCCGTCCCTGCACATTGTTCCTGACCTGCACACTCATACACTAGAGATTCCTTCCATTTTTTTTAGCTTGTTTAATTTATTCAACCTTTTTCTAACTGTTAAACGTTTCTAATTATTTGATACAAATGTCAGAATAACGTAAAGGAAGAATGAAATAAGAAAATGTATGTCTTTGGTAAATACGTAGCTTCAGGAAATTTTAAAACCTTGAAATTGGAAAACTAATTTATCAATTTGCTTAAAGACCTTTCCAAAGTAAGTGTAACATGTTGAGATATTTGAATTCTTATTTCTCCCTGCAAAATAATATAATGTCTCTATGCAGCGAAGTGTTACTGCACACAGGATAGAACACAAGGTGGTCCATCATTTGATTCTGGCTCAAGGATGATTTACCTTTTACTTTCTTCATAGTTGTGGTAATTTCATAAGGCTGATTCATTTTGGCAGATTATTTTTAAACAACTAATGTAATGTTTTTTCCTGCCATGTTGTGTGACTGCCAAATGTGTCAATGGAGGGTGTACTATTGGACCATCTTAAAACAATATGTCTATGATGTCATGGCTTTTAATCCATCCAAGTGTCACCCACTCAAGAGTGACAATGTGCATCATTGTTCTGTGTGGATAAAAATACATTTGAATTGTGTTGTGGTGTGTGCATTTGTGTGTGCATGCATATCAGCTGCAAAAATGAATGTGCTGTAAATGTGTAGGTGGGGCTGTGTGTGCAGGCGTGTCAGTAGATGGATTGTTTTGAGATGCCACAGCAAGACTTTTGAGACACAAATCAGCATAATGGCAGTCAGCATCAAAGTCATAACAATTTTGTTTGTGCATGTGTGTGTGTGTGTGTGTGTGTGTGTGTGTGTGTTGTGGTGTATTTGTGTGTGTGTGTGCGCAAAATGCATTTTTTCAAAGCTTCTTTTGTTTGGCTTACATTGCAATGCTATTATGAATAATGTATATCAGAAATCTCTGAAGATTTCATTGGAACAGGAGACATCAGTTCATAGCACGACTGTGGGTTAATACATGTGCTGTTTTCTGTTATCTCACTGCGCTTTAGTGCATTCCACTGCAGCATTCAAACAATGAATCTGGCACACTTACATCCACTTTGGTAGACATAGTTGTTTGTCCTATAAGGTGGTTATGATGACAGCCCTGCCAGTGCAGCAATGACGAGAGCAAAGCAGGGCTGACAAAATGAAGCAGGGCTGACAGAATGAAGCAGGGCTGACAAAATGAAGCAGGGCTGACAGAATGAAGCAGGGCTGACAAAATGAAGCAGGGCTGACAAAATGAAGCAGGGCTGACAGAATGAAGCAGGGCTGACAAAATGAAGCAGGGCTGACATAATGAAGCAGGGCTGACAGAATGAAGCAGGGCTGACATAATGAAGCAGGGCTGACAGAATGAAGCAGGGCTGACAGAATGAAGCAGGGCTGACAGAATGAAGCAGGGCTGACATAATGAAGCAGGGCTGACAGAATGAAGCAGGGCTGACAGAATGAAGCAGGGCTGACATAATGAAGCAGGGCTGACAGAATGAAGCAGGGCTGACATAATGAAGCAGGGCTGACAGAATGAAGCAGGGCTGACATAATGAAGCAGGGCTGACAGAATGAAGCAGGGCTGACAAAGTGAAGCAGGGCTGACAGAATGAAGCAGGGCTGACAAAATGAAGCAGGGCTGACAGAATGAACTACTTAAATTCATTTTTAAAAACTTTATTGCACAGTTATGAATTGATTTAATTTATCGATGTTAATCCATATCTACTAGTTTTTTCTCCTGCAGCAAGTAGATGTCACAATTTCATTCAATTTACTAGAAGTGAGGCACAATTTTAAAACATTGTTATAATAAGTAGTGTGCAGCAACACTTCTTTACCATCCCTCCCCAACCTACACCTCTGTTTAAACTTCATCTATTGAATGTTTGATTAGCAGGTGTTTAGACACAGATTTAACACAGTTAAGACTTAACAACTTGGGCCAAGTACGCTGCAAAATAATGCAATAATTGCAGAATTCACAGCATTCATTCACACAGAAACTCCATTCTTTAAAATACAACAGTCAATAGTGTACACACAAGGAACATCAGTTCAACATCTCTCATATATTGCGTATTGTACTTTTCCGATGCAGCATTTGCAACAAAATGTCAGTAAGTTAAACATCACTCATATATTAGACCTACTTTTTGTCTTTTAAAGATGAAGCATTCAGTAAAGGTCCAGCTTCTCTTCAATATTTTCAACATAGCCTCTTCCATTCTTTAGGCTAAACTTAAAGTATTAAACTTTTTCTGATGCCTCATTGGCAATAGAGCATAAGCTTAAGCATGAGGCATTCACAGCCCAATATCTGCAGAAAATATTATTATAAAGGAGCCTCCCCCCCTCACAAAAAAACAACAACAAAAAAAAGATCAATACTGTTTCAGTGCAAGATGTTAAATGTAGTGACACTGATATTGGCAAGCTTGAACCTCCATATAAATCCACACCTCATAAATTCTGAAGAAGTATTATTACATAAGGACCATGAAGGGGACCATTGGTGAAGCATCGGACACGTAGGACCCCCCTCTCTCTCTCTCCTCCTGTCAGTGAGCCAGCTGCAGCCATGTTGGAAACGCTCAGGCAGCGGTTGTGCTAGCAGCTAGCGTCAGTGGACACCATGTTGGAAACGCTCAGGCAGCGTTGTGCTAGCAGCTAGCGTCAGTGGACACACCGTTAGCCGAGTTAGCTTAGCATTAAAGGGGGTAACACAAACAGACAATGGGGTTAACGCTAAGGCATTACGCGTTTTTGTTGTTTCAGGAGCTTCTATTGGGATTAAATGTGAAACACCATTTAGTGAATGTTAAGAAACACTGCTCATTTTCACTCTGTTAAGTCATTTGTATTCCTCACAGACAGATAGTGGTGCAGTGGCCGAAACCACCCCTCTGTGTTTTCTCTGCTTATAGGTGCAAAGGTCCGAGATCAAGAAGGATTTCTGTCATACAGGACAATATCACATAAAACACACGTGTTTTCATGATTAATGAGTTGCTTTGACTGAGGCTTATTGTTGCAAGCAGCCGGTTTTAGACAAAAGGAGGGCAGCTCTTTCTTAACCTGTGCATCTTAAGTGTTTTTGGGTTGTCAACCACAATAGTGAACACATTGCTGTGCTAGGCCGAGACAAATGTATTAATATTTAAACCAAACCTGCATTTAGGACTACAGATCATTCCTTAAGTCTGCATGGTGATATTAGATTTATATTTTAAATTTACAGAGCTGATTTAGCTGTATTGTGCAGCTTGGTGAGCAGCAGCCCTGTGGATGTGATTTGACAGTTTTCCTTGTGGGCTTTGGGAGTCAAAGCTGCCCTGTCATGCCTCACACAGATCTCAGCCTTCCTGCCTTCTTCCCATCTAGTTTCCTGCCTTTATATGACTGTCACCCCTTATTACATCCCCATACACATGCCCCCCCTGAAGCCAAACTGAGGGATCAGGACCCCAAATCCTGTCACATATGTTTACACCATTTTTCACGATAAAAAACATTGTCATTAAATGGAACGACGGCTTAGTACATAATTGTATTTTTTTATACGTAAAGTTCATGTTTGGAGTTTTAAGGCAGTTATAAAACAGACTGAAATTGATAATGAAACCTCTTTATGATCTACAAAACGAAACAACATTTAGATAAAGATTGAGTTATAACCTAGATTGTTATAATGAATGCCTGAAACTGCTGCTGCCGAGTACGTGCCAGACAAAGTGACTAATGCCATGCTGCAGAAATAGACATTTTCTGGGACATTTTTCACATATTTTAAAACAAAGCAGAATGAGTGTTTTTGTTTAAAGATGCATCAAAGACATATACAGGGCAAAGAGATAAAAAAAAGGTACTGCGTTGTCCCCAGGGGGCGCTGAAATGGACACAACCCAAAAGTTCCTCACTAGAGCTTTTAAATAAAATCATGACGGGTTAGAATCAGCTCATTTTCAAGCAAAAAACCACACACTGATTTTTTTTTTTTTGGTTGAGCATGTGCAAGTTGATCCTGGGAAAGGGATACACAGTATTTTCTGATTTCACTTCTTGTATGAAGCCAGTTCCCTTCTAATGAATGACCACAACCTGAAACCTTTCAGTGTAGATATACTGTTAAATGTCTGGTTAATCTTTGCCAGATTGTGTGTCCACTCAGTGCTGTGATTTATGTCTTTTTTCAGGTTTGGTACAAATGATCTGCAATATATCCTGACACGTGCACATGTTCCAACAGCTGTAATTTAAATAACATGCCTATTGTCTTTAGATGAAGAAATATCCCTAATCTGATTTTATTTGTGAGTAAAATCCAGATTTTTCTATGTTCTTAATCATATAAGAGATCATTAGGAAAGCTTACACTCTTTAGTGGCTTTGTTTCTCCTCAGCCTGTCAGTTCTTCTTGCCTCCTCTCCCGTTTCTTCTACAATAATCTGAAGAGGCAGGGACGGGGAAAGCAACATTGACCATGTTGGATCGATCTTTACACCTGTCTGTTTTCAGTCGTAAAAAAGATAAAGAAGAGAGACAGAGTGAGGAGATAAGATGGGAAGCGAAGGGAGACAATAAGGAATGAGAGCTGAGGAGAAGGAGGGAGGGTTTTGGAAATGAAACTCAGCCCTCAGGTGTGTCAGTCTGATACAATCAGTGGGCGGGTGTTTCTCCTCCTATAAGTGACAGCATACAGTACAACAAGGAAGTGGAGAGACAGAACAGGAACGCATACAGGCGTATGTGATTTACAGAGGTTCAGTCCTCTGTGAGCCGACTGCCAACATGCAGTTCTGGGATATCCTGGGGTGCACCAATGGAGGTATGATCAATGTGTGCATTCATACTGATGGCTCGTGGAGAGTGTTGGGCTCGGCTGTGATTGGACCGGTGTGTGTTTGCTCTGCTCTGGTAGGCAGGTAGAGAGGGTCTGGCAGGCTGAGAGCTGGAAAGGAATTTGCGCTGCTTGCCGCTGTACAAGCAGTTGCATGTGAAAACCTCACAGACAGGTAGAGTGTGGAGCACAAACAAAGAAGCTGACGGCTCTGATACAGTGTCAGCCTGAGTTGTATGTCTTTGATAAACCTGGTTGGCCTCCGTTCACAGCTGATTTGTCTAAAGACCGACGTGGCACATATGCAGTGATTGATTGTATCCTTTGCCCTGAATGTTATTGGATTTAGCTCACACCGGTTGCCTTAAATAAACGCAGTAGAGATGTGCTGTCCTGTCCATATAGAGTGCTCTCTTTTTTGACCTGTTAACTGCCGTGGTGTGTTTTTGTGTATGAATGGTGTACAGTTTTAAATTCCTACAAACCTAAAATGGGAATTTCACAACCTCTGCTCCTGCTAACATGTTCTGATTCTGAAACCACCGCTACAGTTCCCACATGGGGCTATCATACTTAATGAGCGAAGGTTCTAAAGGACGAAAGATCGACATTTTTTATTTATTAAACGCCTTGTTTATAGGTATCAGATGAGTTTAGGGAAGAGTACCTTTGAAATAATCAGCCCTAAAGCCTTCTGTTATGGTTTTCTGCAATGATGACCAGTTATTTTTTAAAGCAATCCTGTGTCTAAAAGTGCCTTCCCACAACTAAAAAGACTCTATGTTTTGTATTTTTACTGTGGCATCAGATTTTTTTATTGTTCATCAGACAGACAGAGAAAATCCATGCAAGCAAGAATCTAAACTCCTGATCTCTTTGAAGACAGCGTTGTCCGGTCAGAGCTGTCCTACAAAGGGTTACAAATCAGATTTCAGCTAAACAGCCACAAGTCAATCACAGCTATCAAATGTCCCGTTTGTTGTGTGCAGGGCTAAACGTAGGTGATAGTGAGCACGTTGAAAAACAAACATGAAATGATTGCAACTAACACCTAAGAAGAATTTTATGAAACCTTGTACTTGTTAACATACCTTTTTAAGTGCTGCTGTGTGTCTACAGTAGCATATAAAGCAAACGTGCCTATCTATAAAGGTGTGAAAGTCTTACGGTGTTAGTGAAGTTGTGTTGTCTTGTGGTTACTTTGTAGTGCTGTATTGAATTCCAACACCCATCCTGTGCCTCAGGCCATGTTTTCTACTATCAATAGCTTAATCTAAGAAACCTAGAGGATAGAAATAGTATGCATTGTTGTTCAGGTCATACCCAAATGATAAATGATGTTGTTGTTGATGATTGTTTCAATTTTGCAAATTTAGCTGATGCCTCACGAGTTTCCTGAAACAGTTACATATCACATTATAAATTATAGGAAAAGAGAGTTTGACTGACTAGTTGTCACTTGTACGGGGCAGTGCAGTAGCAGGTTCTCTGTGAAAGTAGGACTGGAAACACATGCTCTTTTTGTGTCATCAACAGTCTTCCCCCATTTGCATCCCCTGCTTGCTGTTTTGTTTAACTTGCGATCATGTGGTCAGCACTCTCAGATAGATGCTGTCACTGTGTCGTAGCTTACATCTCGGTAAAAGTTTCCTCGTAAGGTTGCTCTATAGATTAGAAAGGTATAGATGACATACATTGTGTGAGATATTTGAAGCCTCACCCTTTTCCTAAGTCTTTTGAATAAAAAAAAAAAACATACCGGACTTATTAGAAACACCTTCTTCTAAAATCTATATTTAAAATTGTTGTGTAGCTGGAGCATGGTAATGGGAGGTCACATTGGACCATTCCAAAACTAACAGAATCCAGCTTTACACTTTTCAATATAGGCGAAAGTAATGAATATCAAGGTTGTCTGTTTTAAAACTTTGTTTAACTTCTTCTTCATGTACTTCTTCATGTTGTAAATGCATCTGTACTGCAGCTGGAGGAGTAATAGCGTTCAAATGTATCTCTACAGTATGGATAAATACAGGAAGAACATAATTAATTCATCAATATCAGTACAATACATGTAAAAGAAGGAACATTAATCCATCTCTGGGCTGCTCTGGCTGTACAATTTTAATTTAGTTTTCTGAATTTTGTTCCTCTCCATACGACAGATCAGTATCTGACAAGATAATATCTGTCTCTTAAGGAACGTACATGACATCATTAGATACAAACATTTACTGCAGAATGCCAAAAGGCAGTGGGTGCTGTAACAAAATGTGTTATTCGTTGTTCCTGAGAGTGATCGGGAGCTTCTGTTTGACATCTCAGATGCTGTGGTATGGATCAATGAACTTGTAAGTCCGAGCGCCAACTTAGGCGCTCACAGACATAAAGCTGTTAAAAACGGCTTGCAAAAAAAGCTTGTTTGTGTAAAGATATTATAAATTTAAGAAGTGAGACTCTACATATGTGAAACCATCAGAGAGAAGAGAGAATAGAAGGTCATAAAGGGAGATTTGAGAGTGCTTGCGGTTGTCCTATCCTGTACATTGATTATCCATGTAATGCCACTCACAGGTGAATCTCTGTGTCATTATGTCACATTATTGATTTGTTCCCCCTGCGTAAACAAGTATTCCTCATCTTGAGCATTGTCAAACAAAAGAACAGGGTTAAGATCTGATAGCTGCTTTGAAGTTCATGAATTATCACATTTCTTTGTACGTTTTGCTTGGCTCAGCTCTCAGTTGCAATCTTGACTTTCTTTTTTATTGTTTACAACGAGGACAATATGGCAAGTGTGTCTAATTTACACAAAAAATATCAAATTGAAAATGTAAATATTGCTATATTACTTACTGAATTTATAGAACAAGAAGGATTACAGTGCACTATGTTAAAACATAATTGTTACTCTGCTCAGCAAATTGAGCGTGTAACTTTAATTAAGTGTGTGTACACAAGCGAGTGACCCTGCAGGGCGGCCTTTGCTCTGTGACTGGCCTAATGAGGTAAAATGTGCAAAAGAGAGCTACTGCAAACCATTCCCTGGCTTTTATTACTTTAACTATCTCTGCAGTTTTCCCAGTACAACAATCATGTTTTTGTTGCACCTACTTACAATAACAGCCACCTCTTTAAAAGCTGCTAGTGCCACTGTGGTGACTTAAGTCTTTAGACTTCAGGTAGTTCTCTGTGCAGTGACGCTCTACTCCGTTGTTCTCTTCTGACATGCAGACCAGTGCAGATGAGCTGCGAAAGGTTGTTGTTGTTTTCTTGATGAGAATAGAGTTGCGCAATGCCCTAAGCGTGGTGTGGTGTCAACTGTAGCGTAGCCTTTGTGCTTTGCAGCCAGAGGCAGTCGTTTTCTACTCTGAGTGGGAGAGAGAAAGAAAGAGGCTGTGAGCGCGAGGGAGGGAAATGTGATCGAGTAGGAGGGAGAAGCTCAGAGGACCGTTTATGAGTGAAAAATGGTATAAGCAGTTCAGAGACAGATGTTTCAGCACTGTTTTAATAACGGCTTGTAGTTTTGGATCGTTCTTTGTGGATGTGAAAGATTAAAGTTGGCTTTAAAGCTAGGTCAGTCCTGGAGGCATGGAGGAAATACTCTGCCTGGAGGTTTATTTGACGTACTGCTCTCTTAAAAAAACATATTCATGTTGATGTGCAGTAGTTATACTACACAACAACCTGCCAGCTGTGTTGCTCAGGGGCTGATGAAAGAGTCAAATGAGACAGGATCTTTGCCCAGACGACTGACATTAAATTCCCGACAGAAACAAAAACTCTATATTGAATGTAAACCAAACTGTGAATGTTTTTTTAACATCAACATTTGTATAGGATTTCTGACTTAAAGGAGCAGAAACGGATATTATCTACTGTGTGTCTATATGAGAGTTGAGTTTAAATTGGTCTGTCCATATGTACAACAGAAATGTGATCTATGGCCTTTAATACAATATCACAATATATAGAATTCATATTGTGAGACCGGTTGTATTGCCCAGTCCAGAGCCTATCAATATCCTACTGAATTTACTTGATTTCAGAATATGCAAATAATGGACAACATTAAGCCTGAATGCATTAAAGGAAAGTGGAAACTTAATAACTGTCCCGATTTTACACTACACATTTATCATATCCAAGATTTAAAATATATTCAACATCATAGTGTTTGTATCACTAAAGTCTACTGAATGTCCAGGTTGTACTACACAAAAAATACTAAACTGTTTTGCTATAACAGAAAATCATGCAATACCTGTCAATTCATTGTACACTCACCAAACTGCTACTTTGGAATATCACCACCATTTAATACTTTAGCTAGGGTTCATGTTCAAAAAGGTGGCTCAACACAAACCAAAGTTTGATTGATTTTTTTTTTTTTTTTTACTGCATGCTGTGAGTACCTCCTCTATTTTCTCTCTGCAGTTACCAAAAACAACAACAACCTACATACTGCATTTATTTATTTATATGTAAAATGAATGCACACTGTAGGAATCCAGAACAAAGCAGATTATGAATAAAAATAATTTTGTTCCAGGTCTTGTCCCATGTGTCACCATAATATTTGTACCTGTACAAAATGAAACAAAATGCATTTCTTGCAAACTACCTGTAACATGTAACATGTAATATTTCATATACAGCATACTGTATATTGCAAGGTTGTTTTGAATTGGGTCCCGGCTTTAATCTTAAATACGTTGGTTTCCTCATTAGCACTTGGTAACTGTTGTAACAGTAGCTTCATTTTTGTCTTTTTAAGTAAAGAGTGAGTTTAGATGGGATTTGGGAGTTGCTGTGATTTAGGGTTGAATAAGGCCAGTGGGTGATGTTATTAAAGCATGACACAGCAGATCCATTATCCTGCCGAGTCATGATTGTCGCCTCACTCTGGCTGTCTGGTATGTAGCTCAAAGTAAATCCTCCTGATTCATTGGAGCTGCTGCACAGTCGGTGAACTGTCAGTGCCGTCATGTGAACCAGTGGATGTGCTTAGTGTGATTAGAAATCGACTCCTGTCTGTCATATAAACGAAGCGCTGTTGTCAATTGGGTAGACTGTTTGATATGTTTGTTAGTTGCAGAGCCAAAATGATTTGTAATTCTTTGAGCAGAAAATGGATTGAGGATAATATTTTATGTTTGGTTAATTATGAGCTGTATCTGGCAATGGTTGCATTTCTCAAAGATCCGATGATTTGATTTCCCTTTTCGTTAGGTTCAGCTAGCTTCTTATTATACTCAACCTGTCTTCTTTTCTACCTCTGCCTAAGTGCCTCTTAATTTATTCCTGTCCTTACTTTTTTTTCCTTCAACTATCTCTCCCATGTTCTGGAGCGATGAGCGATGAGTTACGCTTGAAGTAGAGAACAGTAAATATTTAAAGCAGTAGTTCAGCTCTCTTTATCTGTGCATGCATGCAAGAAAAATCTGTGTCTAATCAAGTGTTTGATGCTTAAAATGAGTGGAACTGTTGCATGGAAAAGTGACGTGCAAAACTGAGCTTAATTTGTTGGGGTTAGCCTGGGTCAGGAAGAAAATCTACATTCTTGCAGTAGTCACCACAGAGAAGATAACAGCTGCTAAAGTGTCCCTTCCAGGCATCCCTCAGTAGAGTGCCTCTCACTGATGACATCATTAAGTGCAATGGTTCTCAACTGGTCTAGCCTCAGGACCCACCACCAATTCTTCCATGAAATATCACATTTTTCAACCAATCAGATTTATTCATTTAATTGTGCAGTTTGGACCTCGGACGGTTCAAAACATGGCAGGACTAAGAAGAAACAAACAAACAAACCTGTTCATAAAGTGCTTTTTTCCAGCCACATAACAACACCTAACAGCACACGTTCACAACCAACTGAAAACATCTCCTTGACCCACTTTTGGGTCCCTACCCGCTTGATTATTAGCATAACACTGCAATAATGACTGTCATATTGTTCTGTTTCAACAAATTTGAGTAAAATCTCTTTTTTTCTCTCTTGCAGATATTTCTAGGATATCATACTACACTGGTGAGTACATTTCTGTCAATTAATCAAACTTTAATGCTGTTATAGAAACCTCTAGAAATGTTTTGAAATCCACCTCAAAATAACAACTAGTGCACATTTTATTCTTTGAGATGGTGAGCTGCTGTATTAGGTGTTATTGTTTTAAAACTTGTAATGTTAAGGTTTCCAGCACACCATGAATACAGATTTGTTTTTATTCTTTGAATCTGTTTCCTGGTATGATTTCTTTTTTTTATTTTAAGATATAAATAATTTAATCTACAAAATAAAAAGGTTAATCACTTTCAGTTGTACTTCTCGTGATAATAAAGAGATTCACTCTTCTATTTAATTTTTCACAAGACATGCTGTTCTTTGGTCTTAGTCAGACTTGAAGACAGCTTGTGTTGCTGCTTTATAGAATAGATGGAGGTAGAGCTGAATAATTTCGTGGGTATAGATAAGACCTTTTTTTATAGCCCTTGGCTCCAGTTTCTCACCATGGATGTTGCTAGGTAACTGTTGATCCTATGTTTTTTCAGGGTAACTGTTGATCCTATGTTTTTTCAGGAGTGGGTTTTATATTTGTGGTAAAGAACATGTCTGCAGTGAAAGACATGTTGCTGAAGCTGATAATAAAACGAGATGATGATTTCTAACTATGATGGAATCAGCAGCATGGTGCACATACTAGTGTACATCCATGATATGAAACTGTTCAGATTCGGAAGTAAATGTCTTTCTGTTTGAGGGTATGCAATAAATGTTTGTTGTTTCAAAGGGCAGTTGCATACAACACATGCTGTCTTCAGTTTGGCAGATTCTTTGCTATGTTTTTGTTTAAAATTGAATACATACCTACAGGCATAGTGTGTGTCAACGAATAATCACAATATGATTGTTGATGATGTGTTCTGGATGCTAGACGCTTGTTTAGAAAGTTCTCAAGATCATGCCGTCCTTTAGCTCACTGAACAGATTGAATGTCAGAGTGCTTTATTGCCAGTGAGAAGCTGGCATGCTGTAGGAGCAGATAAAATATGTTTGGAGAGGAAGAGAGGTAGACAGCACAGTGAGGACAGAGGGCAGCAGAGACCTGCTGAGGGCAGTACACACAGACAGACAGAGGGGGCGGATAGTGAAAAGAAATAAAAGCAGTGTTGAAAGGGGTCAAAGAGTGGAATGTATGTTTTCAGGGGCTAAACTCTAATCCTGGTATTACTTTATGTCTGTGTGTGCTCTGTGGTTGTGCAGGGTTTGCTTGTTATGAAAGTCCTTGTTTATGAAAGTCTGTGCTCTGATGAGAGTGAATTCCTATTAGCATATTTACAAGTACGGTCCAATCAGCTCGCCTTATTTGCACTGCATCAAGTCTGACAAGGACAGCAGGATGAAAACAAGATGTAGAATAGTTGTATTTACAAAACACACAAATCCCCCCCCCCCCCCCACACACACACACACACACATACATGTAAACATTCATTCCCTCCCACCTCTCCTGGTTCGAGTCAGTGCTGAAGCTTTTTTTTTTCAAAGCTTTGTCAAAGATAGAGCAAAAAAGAAATAAATAGATGAAACACTTGGTTAATACATTAACAAACTCACTTTAAGAGTTTTCTACATACCCACTCACTCTCTCTGTGTTATTAACACCCACACACTTTCCCACACACAAACTCACGTGCATTTAGTTTCCCACCTGCTTAGCCACATGCACACGCACTGTGTACGTAAACAGCATCTCCCTGGCTTCCACACATGCTCTCTCTACAAAGAGTGCCCTCATTCAACTGAAGGACTGCGCTACTGGATGTACAGTGTGTGTGTGTGTGTGTGTGTGTGTGTTTGACTGCGGCAGAGACTGTGAGAAAGATGTTGTGATCTAGCTGCGTTTTCTGCCGCTCTAGAAGAAAAGCAGACTGAACGATACACAGCTGGATAACTTTAAAACAGATTAACTTAATCTGTTTTTGCATCACAGCCTTTTCTTGTTCCTGGCTTCTTCTTTTTTTTTTGGTCTTTTTTGCGCTTCACCTTTAATTCCAGGGCTCTGTCTCTTTATCTCGCTCTCTGTCAACAGACACCTGCCTTGACCTGGTCTGTTGTGGGCTCAGAGCAGTGTGGGAAACATTTGGAGGATGTGTGGCTCAGCTGCTCTTTGGGCTTTCTCTTTTTCCTGCTGTTCTTCTTCCTTCTACTCTTTTTCATTCATTTTTTTTTATTTGAATCATTCCTTTTTTTAATTCATCTCATCTTCCCTCATGTTTCTTGTTTTATCTCTATCCTCCTGTCCTTTTTCCCCCTCCTACTTCGGTCACTTTGATCTACCTCTCCCTAACTATGCTCCATTTCTCGACGTCTCTCTTTGCCCTACATTTTCGTCACTGATGCGAGATCTCCTTTTGTTCTTCCTTTGATCCACTTTGCCATCTCATTTGGACAACATAGTGGATGTACAGAACAAAACTACTACCTTTCTTGGAAAACGGGGCTTTGATGTAATTATTTGGAGTCTTACTTTGCCAGGAAGGGATGTCAGAGTTATTTCGTAACCTGGATGTTTGACAGCCTTAAGATTGATGGCTGCAGGGAAGCTGCCTGCTTTGAATTTCACATCATGGATTGGCTGCTCGGCATTAAAGACCGAAATTCAATATTTTGTGGGCATCTATTGGACTGTAGGATGGCCTAATGCATAGAGATATCATCGACCAAATGCAGAAGCTGGACTTGAATGTCTTTTTGGAGAAGCCACGGGTCTGCAGAGCATCTTTCTGATTCGCCTTTGCTCATAACAGGCTCCATCTCCCTGGAGCAAAAAGTCAAGAATGAGCTTCCTGACGAGGATCATTACGTTCCATATCACATTGCACCTAAGTATAAGTATTTCTGGGCTAAAGGTCATGTCATGTACTTAACGGATTGATTTCTAAGACTTGGACCTTCAGCCAGTGCTGAAGTAATGTGATGCAGTCTTGTGATCAGTAGCTTGGAAAATGTTACCGACTACTGTACTTCAATTTTTATGTCGTTTTTTTTTTATTTTGTTGCAGAAGAAGGATTGACTTCCATATTAACTTCCCACTGTGGATTTGAGAAGCTGAGTCAGACCTTTTATCTCTGTTATTTAAAGGTGAAATCTTTCAGAGCATCTCTGTGAGCTGGACTTGGACCCTGATGATAGATGAGCTCAGTGGCTGCTCGAGGATAAAGTAACAGCGTGATATATTTTCTACCTCCTGTTGGGACACTTGCTGTGTCATCAGATTTTACAGAACAAAGGATATTTGACATTCCCCTTTTGCTTCCTTTTGGGTTCTTTCCTTTATCAGAGTTACTTACATCCCTGGGACTCTGGCCTGGATTGATTTTTCTCTCATTATGTTTCCTGTGTGCGTCTTATGAGGAGGGTAACATTGGCTAAATGGATATTCTCACTGCTTGAACCAATTACAGCAAGGCATAATTTCAAAAAAAAATTCGGAAAACTTTTGATCCAATAATTTTCTTTTTCTTTGGCTAATTGGATTCATATACCTGGAATTTTCCTAGTTTGTAAGGAGAGCCAAGGTATTCCAGTGCTAGTTTTAGATGCTGTTTTGGTGGCCCTGCAGTTTAGTCTGTGCCCGGTGGCCAGACCTTGTACAGCTCCGTCTACAAAAAACATGGAGAGCAGCGGCTGCATCCCTCTCTGCTGGAGCAAAGGGGCCTGCATCTACGCACAGCATCCCCTACCAAGTATGTAATAAGCAGTATGTCTGTAGAAACACAACACACAAAAAGAATGGAGCCTAGCTTACCAAGAAATACATCGTACAGCTGAGTATTTGGTATCTGATGTCAACACTGAATCTAACTCAATACTGATAATCATAACTGATTGAGATTAGACCCAAATATTGTGCCTCCGATGACCTTCATCCTTATTGGTTCTCATGCTTTTTTACCATTTCTGTACTTGCTGTAAAGCATTTTATTGTGGTAAGTACTTTTCATGCTGATGCAGATGTTTAACATTATTTGGTTTTCTTTTCTATAGCTTTATCCTCTGCATGACAGTGTTAAACTGTATTATTTAATTCAACACACTGGGCTCCGGGAGAAGTCGGGATTGAAGCACTATCACCTAAGTTATTTTCTTTTCTGCCGGTCCATAAAGTTAAATATGATTTTGTATTATTGAACAGGCCAGTGCAAAAGTTTGATTTAGGCTTTGTTTGAAAAGACAACAGGAATGAATTCAGTCTGTTTACCAGCCTTATTGTTGCACTGAGCTGTAATTAGTTATGTGTATAAAATGATGTGGGAGAATGGTGGTAGTAGGTTACTCTGATGTCACTGGAAGAGCTTAAACAATCACACACACACACACACACACACACACACACACACACACACACACACACGTGTACACAAACATAGTGCTGGCCATTTCATCAATTTATTTAGTATGCAAAAAACAGTGCTAGGGAAGTGACACTTTGTTTGTATATATACTGTATGCATTGTGTACCAAACAAATATTCAGACTTGTAGCTTTTCTGCTCTCCCCTGGTACAGATAATGTGCATCATTGGCAAGAAGGAAGAGAGAGTTTAGTAGTAGTTGGGGGAAGGGGGGCAGAGGAAATTGTTTGAGGACGAGAGAAAAATGAGAAGGAGGAAGGAAGGGAGATGGTTCAGTAGGACGAGGGGATCAAATGGAGATGTGAAGGCAGGAACTAAAAGGCCTGTGCACATGTTAGCTGAGTGGCGGGAGGAGATTAAGAGGAGAGAAGAAGAGAAGAAAAGAGTTCCAGATGAAGGGAGAGAAATTATGGAAGAAGGAAAATAACAGGAGATTTGGCATGTGAGGAGTGAAAGTGGAAGGAATAGATAAAGGCTTGGGGGGAAAATGGCATTAAGATGGATGCATTTGCAGACTGAACTGAAAAAAAGAGAAAATGATGGTAAAAGAAAAAGGCATAGAGGTAGAGGTTCCCCAAGGATTTTTCTAACCCCAGTAACCCAGATACAAGT